CAACACGAATCTGTAAACTCTGTAATGTTTTAAAGCACTAACCTAGTATTTTTTTACTGCTGTGTTCCTTGACCTGTAACTATTCTGTTATGTTTTTGTCTAGCAATTATCAGGATGTTCATCACCTCTTTTAACAAATATCCTGACTACTTTAGTCAGCTACGACATCTCATTACACAGAAGAACACTTATACATGCATGCATAGTTTAAGCAAAATGGGATTCTCTGAATCAAGCTGTTGCAACTTTCCTACCCATTCTTACAACATTTAGAAAAGCACAAAAATGCAAATGACTATGCTAAGAATCTACTTGGAAATTTGGATTGCCTACAAAAAATTCAAAAGTAGTCTATAACTTTTTTCTTTTTTTAAGTGATCCAAGCTGAAAAAATTTCTTTCGAGTTACAATAAACACAAAACTAATCACCAGATACAGATGTCCAGTTAAGGGCCTGGACACAGAATTTCATCTGGAAAAATACTTTTACCAAAAGCAGTACTAAAGATCTGCTATAATGGAAATTCACATACAAATTTAACTACACTGTTTTCTATCAATAAAATCTTTTCACTTTGACTGATAACTGAATTGAAAAGAAAAATTCATCCAAAAATATCTCTTGGCTTCAAATTAAATTAGGGCGATCAAGAAAAAGGAATTAATATTAAAAAGTTATTTAACATAAGCACATTTATGGTTACATGAAAACAATTAAGTTACTGATTTTGGAAAAGTAAAACAAAGTAGCAAGTATGTGAGACTGCATCTTGATTCTGAACATTTAAAAGAAGAGAGAGAAACATTAACAGATGTTAAAATAAAAGCTCTTGGCAATAAATTTAAACTTTGTATAAGCACACACACACATACAAAAGGAAAGACTTTTGAAACTGATGTCCATGGAAGGTCTACTAAAGAAAAAAGCAGCAACAGCACAGAGCCTACCAAACCTACTCCACAATAAGGTCTGTCAAAAGGCTTAGATTTTTCCTCTTCTCAGGAGTTCTACCTGCTTAACATACTTAATTAAAAAAAAAATTACAAATACTGCACAAACACTCCCACTGTACTTCCATTTTGCTAAAATTATTCTCAAAAATAGCTTGATTTAGACTCTTAACAGTACTATTCCTTCCAAACATCAGCTCCTACTCCCCTTTGCCCTTAATGGAGAATTAGCAAACTTCCTGCTTCAGTTTGGAAGGTCTCCTTAGCACCCTCCAACAGGCCAACTTCTGTCAACAGGATGGTTTTACACAAGAATACTGCCAGCCTAGTAAAAATAGTCAGTGAAAAATAAATATTAGTGATGTGGATTTCATTTGTTTTTTAATAAGATTTTGAAAGTCAGCTTGAAAATACTTCTATTTTAAGTTTGAGGAGAAGAATAAAGGAAACCGAAGAAGGTACCTATCACAATATTTAGAGTGGGAAATGTAATTTTTTAAAAATAAAATGAAGAAATAGAAACTTCACTGAGAATATTTCACTGCATACCCTCAAGAGCAAAAGTGCTTTTCTGTCTTTGGCTGGTTTGTTCAAGTGTCTGTTCTCATAGCAAACACTGAAATGGAAAAAGAAAAAAAAAAAAGTGATTCTGCAAGTGAAGTTCTTAGGCATAACTTACTAATTCCCAGGCTCTGTACTGCATTTGACTTCTAAGTCTTATTTTATTTCCTGAGCACCAGTCCAAAGTAGAACTAGGCCTTCATCTCAGCCTCTCTTCAGCTGAAACAAGAGACGCAAGACATTACCAAAATGGTTAACTTATCCTCTCAAATGGAGCCCCCTAAAACTGTTAGATTTCATCAGTCCCAAGAAGAAAAATAAAACCAGAAAGAATAAGTAACAGCTTGAGTGAGGGCATCTGCAAGAATGAAAAACTGGAGCAACACATTCTACCAAACAGAGCATATAGGTATCAATTCTTGATGTAGTTCTTTAAAAGTAGTCTATCTCCTTGAGCCAACATGATGGACACTAACTGCAAGGACAAGAGACATGGTCCAAAGGAAACACAAACTCCCAGAAATATAGAAACTTCAGTCCTAAAAAAATCCTGGGACAATGAGAGAAGAGAGGCAGGAGCAAGCAGATACCTGTACGAAGTGCCAACATACAATTCTTTTGCTGTCTGAAGTAAGAGCAATTCCATTTAAAAATAGACATATTTGCAGATGGTCCATTTGCTTGAGTTGTCACAAGTCACTGAAGAATTAACTTGTAGAATTAGCATGCCTATGCTAAAGAGAAGCACTGGGAAAACTAGTGTTTCAGCTACATAGATTCCTGATGATCTCCAGAATGTGAGAAACAGGCTCCTAATTGCAAGCAGGACACGGTGTCTAGCTTACTGTAAAAAAGGTATGAACCCTAGGCACCGACCAAAGAAGAGCTAGATGTACCTGAAAGGTTTCCAATGGAAAGTATTCAAAAGATTCAAGACAGTACATACAGGGAAATTAAATTAGAAACTAGAAATCAAAATATCTGTTTGACAGATAAGTATCATCTTATCCCCATATAAAGGCATAGGAAAATTGACTTGTTCAAAACTGGGGTTTCTTCACGAGGTTAAGAATCTCAACGCTCTATTCTTGCTTTTACAGCTCATCTTCCTCTACAGTTTGATTCTTTGAAGCTTTGCCACATGCCAGTAGTTTGTTACAATTTTGATTTTGAAAACCTTATTTAAATTAGTTCACTGGACCTTCAGAAAACAAAGACCTAGGGAGAGAAATAAAATGTATTTTCATTCAAGACAAGCCACTGGCAGAGACCTGACAGGAACTGCCACTAATTTCTTGTATTGCTAGAAGCCAAAGATGAAGAGTGAACTATGTTCTCCTCAAAAGTCTCAGAAGATTGCTCAGGTAAACCTTAATCTTATCTTACCAGTATAAGCAGCTGTCTTACCCAGAAGAGATTCAGATGCTTAAAGAGCTTGCAGAAGAATTATGTATGTAAATTGAGGAAGTCATATAAGATGCTGTCTGTGTCTGATGGAGCAATGAATATTCTTTTTCCTGGGTTCTACGATTTGATCGCTGCAGCTTATGGTTCACCATATATCTAGCAAATTTAAACACAGCCAGGTGCCAGCAAATCAGGGGGAAATCAGTGGGAAAACAAAAACTTCGTGAGAGATATCTAACCAACCATTAGCACACTCTTGCTAATACAGAGTTATTAAACATAAAGAAATTCAGATTTGCTTAGATTGCTCTAAGGAGAAGAACCTTGGAATCGCTGTTTATCTAAGTGCACATCAGCCATAGAAGTTGCACCTGGATTCCAAGCCGAGTCTGAAGTTTTGTTTGGGAAGAACACAGCTGCAAAAAAAACCTATATAGAAAATCGTGTCTATTTTGCTAGTAAAGGTTCAAATAGGTTCTACTGATACTTATACACACTTCCCTTCACAGTGAGAATGATCCATTACACACTCTGAGGGAAAGAAAAATGTCAGGGATGAGTCTAACCTGTAACACTATACTAACGATTCCAAAAAGAGAAATAGGATGAGGAGAGGAGTTCTGTATTCCTGTCTGACAAACAGAAAGACACTGATATCAGAATCATGTTAGCCAGGCAAACCTCTTTGAATCACACAAAAGGTGAAAATCAGTATCCTTTCTGATGTGTCTGAAAACTTTACACAATGCCTGTCTAGAAAGGAGAATCTGTGTGAAAACAAGTTATAGAGAAAGGTTGCAGGCCACAGACATCCAGACCACAGTCTCTCAACTGCAAGTCAAATGGGAATACTTTCTGGTTTAGCTTGGAAAGCTTCTTGTCAGGTCCAAGTCACAGAGATCGATCTCAAAAAGTGGATTCTCCAGTACTTACAAAGTGTTTGCTTATCCAACATCGAAAACATTGGTTATTCAACAAGATTCAGTCACTCGTCACTTCCGTGTGCAGCTAATGGGCTGTATGAAGGCAGACATCTTAAGTAAGATACCATACACAAACTCATAGAATCTCTGAAGTTTCCTTAGATATTAAAACTGAGTGAATTTCAGTCTTAATTTAAAGAACAAAGATATCTGGGATCTGTTTCCACAATAGCACAGACAGAATTGTGACTTTTGAGAAACAGCAAATAAAAATTACTAAGAAAACTTCAATACCAGCCTTAGAACTTGTGGACAACCATGCTATGTGTTTACTCTAATCCCTTAAGGTTCAGTCACTTTTTCCAGTGTCCTATTGCATGTCAGTGCTAATGTGGTTTCTAGGAGACATTTTCTGCATGCTAACAGTTTGCAATACCATTTTCCAAACTGGCCTTTGTGGCTTCCACTTTTCTCAGCCCCCCACACTTGCTCTAAGTACTGCAATACTTGTGAATACTGGGGCACTCTGTGCTGAAAGAGTAATTCAGTATCCTACAACTGTGCAATGCCACAGCCACGAAAATGTGGCATTTGCATTTACATGAAAATACCCTTTATCA